TTTGTGTGGTTGTTCTTTTCTGTGTCTATCAATCAATATCTTCTTTTGATCTTTAAGAGTATCCTCCAGGAGACTGAAAGGCCTCAAAATAAAAGTAGTATCAATCTGAATATATTCAAGTGATGGATGGATGAAGATAGTTTCATATAAATGTTGTACTAGTTCTATCCAGTTAGGTTGAGATGACTCTTTATTAATATCTCTACACTCTATCCTCAGTAGTCTGATGGTTGTATGTGACTGTAACATGTTAGTAACAGCAGGTAGTCCCTGTTCATAAAACAATGGTGTCATTATTTGTTTCTTCTTTTCCTCACTGCAGTTACTGTATGACTGATCTAGTTTGAAGTTTACTTCAAGTTCTGTGAGATTTTTTATTTGGGTGATGACATTAATAAAAGTTCTTATCTCTTCATTTAGTGGAATGAGTACACCCAACTGCTGTAGACTGGTGTTGTGTCTGAGACCAGTTGTTAGGAAGGACAGGAATGAACTGGGCAGAAGAATTAAATTCTGAATCATATTTTTAACAACATCATCAATCTCAAGGTATTTCAGTGTTTTGTTTTGTGTTAGCATGTCTTGTAGACTAGTACCCATACTGCTGGTATATACTCTCTCCTTCATCTTCACTCTCAGAGCTTTAAGTGTAGTATTGGTTTGTAGAATAGTAAATAGTTCAATAGCACTCTCAGCTTTGTCTAGTGATAAAGTAAGTGTATGTAGACTGGGATGAGACAGAAATAGAAGATGTGGTAGGTATGGTTGACGTAGTATCAGACAGTGTAATCCTTTGATATGTGGAAGGAGCGATGATGTCAGTTTACTACTCCTTCCTATCTCTAGAGCAGTCAGTGGTGTGTTCACCTCTACTATATTCAGTGATGATGGTAGGAGTTCATCAGGTATCTTCAGTGAAAGAGCTTGTAATGTGTTGTTGTCCTTTAGTAACTGCTCTATTACTCCATCAGGTAGAGGAGGATGAGCATAGAAAGTAGTACACCACTGACAATCAAAATCTAGTGTTAATGATCTTAATGTTTTATTTCTTGTTATTCCTCTAATGACACTGATAATGGTACTTGTTATTTCATTCCCTTGTTCATACTTAATCTTCATTTCTTGTAGTGTTGAATTCATTTCTATACATTTCTCAAGTTCAGTGCACTTGTCTGCATAGTATGTGTTGTTAACTGTTGGTATAACAGGATGGTACATTCTTAAGTGCAGTATATTCAATTGAGGAAGATTGAGGAACTGTAACAATACAAGACAGGGAACATATTGATGAAAAAATAATTCACAGTAGCACTCCTGAATATTGTATAAAAGTGATGATTGTAATAATTTGTGTATAAATTCATCAATGGGTCCATACAGCTCTTTAGTTTCGGGATGACCTTCAAACACTGCCCCCAGTCTCTTACACTGGGTCTGTAGTGAGCTATTGTTGGTTAGTCCAGCAGTGAAGACTGATAGTTTCTGGTTATGTACGTACCCCAGGTGCAAGAGATTCCATGTTGTGTTGGAATTATTTATACAATAAGTGAGACACAACCAGTCAAACAATGATAGTCGTACTTTATACAGACACAGTGAGTGGTTGTTGATGGATTGTGCTAATACTTGACATAATGTTGTATTCTGCGATTCATACAGGAGTTGAAGAAGAAGAATGGGAACATTGTCAATATCATCAGGACTGACATAATCGTTTGGCAGGTATAATTCACTAATCGCAGAATTTTGAAAGAAGTAGGAGCGATGACAAGTCTCAAACCCAAACAATGGTTTCCTCTTACACTGTAAGTCAAGTTGTTGTTTATTAAAATACTGTTGATAGTTCTCATGTTCAAGGTGAGTTAGACCTGCCACAAACCTCAGACACATTCGAAAATGATCATTATCAAAGTGATCCTTAAAAATTTTCTCTGTCTTCTTCTCATGCTTAGCTATCCACCATGCAGCTAGAAATTCCTGTATAGTCAAGTGAAGAAACTGATACTTCTTCTCATCATATTCTGTGAATGTTGTCATCAATCCAAGATAGTCTTCCTTGACTGCCTCACTCAGTGACTGCAGTTGATGTGAAGAGAATGTCACTGCTGTATTAGCCAGGTTAGTATAAGCTAATTGACACATCTCTTGTAAAGGTTTAGCTAATTGTGATGGTAATGAAGAAAGACTACCTAAAGTATATGGGTCAATGTCATGTCTTGGTTTTATTTCCACATGTCTTTTGATAGTTTGCAAGATAAAGTTCTCATACAGTTGAGTGAGT